TATTCGGCCCCCCTTGAATTTTTCAACCTTTTGCCACATTTCAGGCTTCAAACATAAAGAGATAAAATTTTAATTTTTTGTGAAGAATCAACAACAAGTGGGACACAATCGTGAAGTGGAATGAAATTTATTGGATGCGTCATATCCGAGCTTATCCAAACCATAGCTACGGCAACTAAAGCAACAACAACAAAAACTAACAATAACCACAAACAAACAAACAAACTCAACTACCCCTTAAAGTAACTTGATATTTTGTAAACTAAATGTAACCGAAAAATCAGGTTTGTCCTCTGAACCGTGTTCTTATATGTAGTTCTGTCCAAAGGAAGCTCCAGTACAAAGACTTCCTTACTATTCTTTAAGCCGTTCCACCTTTGGTCCAGCAGTGTCCTGCAGCCCCGACTGTTGAAACCCCCAGGTACCAAACATCTTGTGGGATTGTTAACACTTGACGTCAATAAAACGCAGGTCACCGAGGTGACGACAACGTTTCACCATCACCAGACGAGTGGAAGAACCTCTTGAGACCTGTTCCTCTTCTGGTTGTTTTAATGGAAGATGTTGGATGAAAACTGCATCCTCAGTATTATTATTTTTTCTTCCATTAATACACACATTCAGTAAACTCCCACACGAACCTGCTTAAGGCAGTAGCGTTTAAAAGATGTGTTTACTGGGCACCACTCTCCAGCATCGACACAACAACACCGTTTACTTGAGAGGCCTCTTCTTATTTATTGGGCTGTTGATGTCATATGTCAGTGAGAAAGGCAGAGCTGATTTGGAGCAATAAAACCTAACCAAGAGGAAATTTATGAAACTCAAAACACTTCAGTTTGTATTAAACGTTCCTGGAGATGCCCTGACAGACAATCCCCCCCAAGACCTTTTGCTTTGAACTTCCTGTTGAACTGTTAAATTGGGCTTTTTAGCAGAATTAAGCCCAGATGAACACACAACAAAGTATTCCTGTGGATGCCTCACAGCATGATTGAGATCTGAGCGGGCCAACTTGAAGGAACATAAGGTTTCAGTTGAAGCGGGGTCAGGGACAACGTTTGTGCTGCGATGTCCTGTCCTTGCACTCCCTCTGTGTTTGTATGTGCGTACACTCTCCACACCATAATCCTCCTGTGTCTAATGGGATCTGTGGAGTGGAACAGGCAGAGAGGGGGCTTAATACAGCCGCTTAGCTGCCCAAAGGAACGCCTGTCAGCAAAGGCCGATTAGGATCAGAAGGGAGGGGTGGCCGACTGACACAATCATCTTTAATAATGACTTTGAGAAAGCTGTCGGCAGACTCTCAGCAGCAGGCAGATGTGTGTCGATGGAGAGGAAAATACACACAAACATCAGCTCTTCAAATTGAAACGCCTGTGATAAGTGAGTAGAGAGACTGAATATAACGCTCTGTCAAAACACCTTTTGCCTTGACAGTGGCTGACTGACTGATAGGCCCAGCGTGAAAGTCATGGGGGAGAATTGTAATCCATCCAGCCTGATGTGGCGAGGGTAATGGTGATCTCTTAATGCATCTGTATGTGTGTATAGCTATTAAATTAGCTCCTGTCAAACAGATCCCTCCTTGCCCTTGACAGAAAGCCCAACACAGAATACCCGTTTGCATGTCCTACCTGTGCAATCTGTAACATCTCAGGATTGAGCCGGTTGAGGTGGAGCATGAACTCAGCCAGGCCGATGAGGGCCAGCTGAATGGTGAACATCTTCCTAAAGGTCCAGTAATCTGTGGCGTTGGGGAATGTGTGAAGAGCCCACTCCTTCAGCATGCTGCGAGGAACCATGTTCCCCTGGACTTCTTTCAGGATGTCCCTTAGCACCTGAGGGACAAACCAGGAGCAGAGGTTAGCTGAAGATCAACTGATGCATACACAATAATCCAGGTAGAAAAATCTAATAAAGTAAAATCAGGTTCTCTGGACGGATTCTTCTTCTTGAACCGTTTCGTCTTTTATCCAAAAGACTTCGTCAGACTGAGAAGCTGCAACAAACTCAGCCTTATACAAAGCACCTTCTCATAGTGGATCAACCAGCAAAGGAGGACCATCAGCCTAACGATTGGTTGTTAGTGCCCTGATGACCACTTGCTATTCACAGGGGGCTGAGTGATACTGTAATAATATTTTAAGATAATAGCAAGTGGCCATCAGGGCACTAACGACCACTTGTTAGGCTGATGGTCCTCCTGTGAACAGCTAGTTCTGGATGTCAACAACAAACTAGTTGATCCACTATGAGAAGGTGCTATTTATAAGACTGAGTTTATTGCAGCTCCTCGGACGGAAGAAGTCTTTTGGATAAAAGACGAAACGTTTCCACAAGAATCCGTCCAGAGGACCTGACTTTACTTTGGTAGATTAACTGAAGATAAAAGAAGATAAAACCTTAATAGGCATACTGATGTTTCCTCTACAGGTGGGAATCTTTAGGCAACTCATGAATTGATTTAATTACAATTCAGAGGACTGTGATGTGAAGTTTAACCCATTATCAATGCATTTTGATAGCCGTACTTGCCACCGTACAAGTCGCATCAGTCCAAATATGTCTAATAAAGTGGGAAAAAACAAATATGTCGCTTCACCGTATAAGTCACATCTATTATGCATCACCGCTGACCACCTGGAAACGTGGGCCGGTGTTATGAAAAAAAAAAAAATCGACTAGCTGCCAAATTGCGGCCGCGGGAGCGTGCACAGGAGGACTTTAACACCTAAAAACAATTATTTGTTTGCTCAACATTATAGAAAGTTGTGTCTCAGTTGAACATTTCCTTAATAAATGCACTTTGATGGTCAAATCAGCTGCATTTCTCCTGGGCGGCGTAGTGAAATGCAGCTGATTTGACTTTTGCTTTAGGAGTTCCGAAGCGAGACAAAGGTGGCATCTATGGAAAGCCAAGTGTCTCATTAATAGCCACTTTTACCTATTAATGAGACACTTGGCTTGCCATATTAGTTGAGGGTCCTCTAGTGGCTAAAGATGGTAGTGTTCAATATTTTCCATGTCAGAATGAAGGAAATCATCAGATATCAGCCAAAAATTAGGTTATAAATATGGGGGGGGGGGGGGGGGCAAAACGTATATTAGTTGCTTCTGTGTAAGTCACAGGACTTGCAAATTTATGCAGAAAAGGTGCGACTTATACGGCGAAAAATATGGTACTTGATATATGCCCCTGTTTGAGTACTTGGTAGCTTTAAAGAAAAGTATTTATATATTTTCAATTAATTTACTTCGTGTCACAGATCTATTTGTTGAATATGCGTACCAAAGACTGCCTGGGCTCAGCACTTCCACACAGTTGAGTTACTCCTTGTGCTCTTTGACACAACGTTAATATTTAACATTAACAAAATTGACTTTTGACATTTGAAAAACATTCAGAATCTTCAATATCTGTGACGCAATGCATCTAAAAACCATGCAGAAAAACAATTTGTGTAAATTTACATTATTCAAATGATGCCAATGATAACTTGTTTTTTGAAGTAAAATAATTGTCTTTGTCAATAAAAAGCTACAAAAATGAAACGGATCTCACTTGTAAATGAGTCTTCTAGGCTCAATGTGACTCTGTCTGAATAAATGTTGAAAGAAAAAAAAAAACCGAAGCCAAATAAAAATGCAACACTTAGCTGTGAGGTAAGTGATATGGTTTATGAGCGGTGTTTATACCTGGTGGCTGGCTTGTGTGCCTCGAGCCTGCACAGTGGCCAGACGGTCATAATATCGTGAGATAGGGTTGTCGTGCTCGATGCCCTTTTTGGCACAGCGTTGTTTGTAAATTTCCACCAGTGACAGAGATGAAGGGTTGTCCTCAACAAGCCGCATCTGAGGTGAAACTGCCACCACCCGAGGAACTGGAGAAACAAGAGGGAAGAACAGGAAATTGGTGGGGAAAGAAACAAATTAAGAGGAAAAAAATAGAAATGAGGGGAAAGAAAATAAAAAGAAATAAGAGGAAAAAAGCCGAGTTGGAACAACCACATCAGTAATAAAGAAACTGTAAACTTTTGGCTGCACTTGCTAACAAACAAGTTCTGTTTTACCACAGAAGGAAACCACAGATCCAAACCTGCAACAAAAATACTCTGTTGGGAAAGAGCTGCGCTGAAGGCGTGCCAGAGAACAGCATGAACAGTAAATGCAGTCTAAACATTTACACAAAGTGGCACCTTTTATCAAATCGATACCAGCTATTCCAGTTGGAAGGAAATGAGCTGGAATATCTGTTCCTCTTAAAGCATCAAAAGAATCAAATAAACAGCTGAGTGGAGACAACACGGGAATGACGAGAGAGGAAAATCCTTGTGTGAGATCAGTTTCCTTATAGCCTTTGAATGTCATCCTAGTGAAATCTGAAATGTATGTCCTACCTGAAAACTCACACGGGATGAAAAAGGTGACAAACCTAGCACCTTTAGTGGTTGAGGGTGGGGGGACACAGACCCCACACCCCCTGAAGATATAGTGATTTTTAACATGTAAATTAAGCATTCTGGTATATTCGAGGAGAAAATTAGGGGAAAAGACACATTGCTTCAGGTAAAAAAAATACATTTACTACCATATCCTCATTTATTTAGGACATACGTAAGAAAGATGGCTAGTCAACCAAAAAAAATAAACAAACAAGCAACAACAACAAGCCCAACAGAAAAGCCAAATATAGCAGAGTATTTTGCTACTAACAAAAACGCGTGTCCCAAAAAAGTAGCGCAAAGCAAGCAGCGCGCAATACAGACGTGCTAGCTAAGATGCTACAGACGTAGCGCTCCACTTCTCTAATGCATCCTAATCTCCCCGGTCGACAACTGCTGGCACTTACAAAGCGCTAAGCTAGTACTATGTAAGTGCGCTAGTTTAGTGCTTACGAGCTAGCTAGCGCGACTTGCGTAGCACTAGCTTAGCGCTATGTAAGCCCAGTCAATGGGAAATTATGCCATCTACCATGCCTCTGACTGTCCCCAAAAACTCTTTGGATTTAGATGATTCACGTAAATTAGATATTTTTGCTTGAAAACGGCAAATTTAGCCAAAAAGCGACATGTTTGCAGGTATGTGTATTAGAAGCTTGTGCACACAGGGTGCACCGTGTCGTACCAGTGAAGAAGAGGTGCCGCTTGGTGGTCTCCTTCCTCTTCTCCAAACAGGGGTTGAGGAGGCGGAGGAGCTGCAGGACCCTTTCTTCTCGACGTGACTCGGTCAGGCAGGCATCGTTCATCACCAGGTAGGGGTAGATCTTACCGTTGTGACCACGTATATAAAGACGGCGAGCTGCAGTGTTGTGTTTCTGAACGATTTCCACCCTGGGCATGAACCTGGAGAGGAAAAACAAACCAAAACCAAAACAAGAGACGACGAATAATGAATATTTTCAGCTGTGCTTTATAACAGTCATCAGCCACACCTTGAAGAAATTCCACATTGTGATCGTTACCTGGCGATCTTGATGTAGTAGTGCGTAGGTTTGGGCATCAGGAATTCACCTGGGATCTCCACTTCAGCTGTTTGCGCAGAGAAATTACTCAGGAAGCGGCACTTCTCCTCAATCAGGAAGAATTTGGGAAGCTGTTTGGTTTTAGCCTCCAAAATCTTGATCCACTTCTTCAGTTTGGAGATCAGGTTGTGGAGCTTCATGGAGCCTGGCACACTGAAGTCAAAGTCTGTTTAATGAGGGGAGGAAAGAGACAAACGAGTGACTATTGTCCTCCTAGTTTGATTCACGGTGGTGGTAAATACATTTTTAATAAAACAGCATTTATGTAATGGGGATATTGTGCATTTTTTATGAAGGGGATAAAAGCTATAAAACAAAATGCAAGCCTTGCATTTTGTCTCATGATCCTCAGGCAGGAAAGCAGGTCTTATTAAATAAATGTGTTAACCTTTGACCTGCTTCACGAGTTATTCTTAGAATGATGTATTTTGAGCTACAAGACGCCCAGCTGCAGGGCAGCACGGTGGCACAACTGGTAGAGCCGCTGCCTCTCAGCGAGCAGGTCCTTGGTTCAAACCCCGGTCCAGGGTCCTTTCTGGGTGGAGTTTGCATGTTCTCTCTGTGCATGCGTGGGTTTTCTCCGGGTGCTCCGGTTTCCTCCCACAGACCAAAAACATGCATGTTAGGCTGATTGGTAACTCTAAATTGTCCCTAGGTGTGAGTGAGAGAGTGAATGGTTGTTTGTCTCGTTTGTCTCTATGTGTCCCTGTGATGGACTTGCGACCCGTCCAGGGTGTACCCCGCCCCTCGCACAATGATTGCTGGACATGGGCACCGGCGACCCCTGTGACCCAAAATGGAAGAAGCAGGTAAAAAGATAATGGATGGAAGACACCCAGCTGCTGCATCTACTCTGAGAAGGTAACACACGGTAATGCAGCTCCAACATGTTTACGTGTTAAAACTCACATGTACTGTTTTGTGTAAGTAAACTTAAAATACCATACTAAAATCACATAGTTAAGAGCAACCACTCACGATAGGGCGATAATCAAAGAAAATCAGATCTAACTATTGATGAGAGCTTTTTTCATTCAATCTTTATTTATACAGGTTAATCCCATTGAGCCTCGGGGACTCATTTACAATAGAGACCTGAGCTTTTCAAGGCTTGTTTGAAACTACATCATCAACACCAAGATCTGCATATTATCATAGTTTATACAGTTAGGGGTCCTTTCCAATTTCCTTTATAAAACTCCATATTCCCCAAACTCAAATTTATTCAGATTTTTTAGGACTTTTGAGCCTTTTCTGACACATGCCTTGTGACAGAAGAGTTGCAATAATTATTTATAAAATGCAGATAAAAGGTACGACGGAATATTAGGACCACACACACACACACACACACACACACACACACACACATACAAAATTTAAATTACGAGAATAAAGTTGTAGTATTATAAGAATAAAGGCATAATATTACCAGAATAAAGTTGTTTTCAATTAGAAAAACTACTAAGCTAACCAGAAAGCTCCTCTTCCACAAAAGAAGCAATTTCTTCCAAATCTGTGTGGTTCTTTCTTCGAAACAGTCGTTTGCACAACCGTTTCAAAGTCCTGATACTGATAATAATCTGATGCTGATGTGAAAACAGATTAAGTATTTCCTTATTTGTAAAAAACAACAAGAACAACAAAAATTAAAAAAAATATTTAAAAAAATAACACAACCAAAGTATAACAAGATGCTCAACATTCACCATTTTACCACAGTTGTAAAACTGCTTTTTGTGTGTCAAAGTTCTGATAATATTAGGACTTTATTCTGGTAATATTACGAGTTTTATTCTCGTAATACTACAACTTTATTCTCATAATATTTCGACTTCACTCTCGTACGACTTTATTCTCATATTATGACATTATTCTTTACAACTTTATTCTTGTAACATAATGACTTTATTGTCGTAATTTTATGATTTTTCTCATAATGTTTTCTTTTTTTTTCTTAGCGTGGCCCCAACTGTTGTAAAAAGGGTCATATATCAAAAAGGAAAAATATTCCACATAGATCAATTAGAATACATTTCCAGGCTTTTGCTTCATTTCCTATTTGGACAAGTTGAAGTGTAGTTAAACTTTGTGAACACTGTGACAACGTGCTTTAAGTTTTAAACAGGCAAATGTAGGAGCTTTTTTAAAATTTAAACTAATGCTCTGGTTCTAGAACCATAAACTATAACTACCAGTAGTTAGATAAAGAAAATGTTTTAGACTGTTTTAGTCTAAATAATTTAGATGTAAGCTATAGGTCCAAAATGTTTAAATTAAACATTCCTAAAGTTTCATCAGTAAAATCCAGGTTTTCATCAGAATATTTTGAATTTGTTTAATTTTATTTAAAGACATTCGGTCTGTGTGGCGATTGCCCAAGGGCCACTTCTGGCCCTCAGACTGCTTGTGTGTGGTCTAAAGGTTCTCAAACAAAAACTAAAATAAATGAATAATTATTTAAAATTTAAAAATCTCATCCTATCTAAACAAACTTATCCAGATCTGTAAAAGCCCAAGTTTATACTGGTTCATACTTTCCATACTTACATTGGAACCATGTACAGTAAACACAATGTTACAGTAAAATACTGCGTGACAATATTCATATAAATTCACATTTTGTATCCATTAATAATGGTGACCTCTCAGCTTCAGCAGAGATTTGTTTAAAGTAACGTGGAAGATAAATGAGTCATGACAGGCTGGCAGCATAAGCTGAACCGTTTTCTCCATCGCCTTAAAGCTCCCTGGCAAAGACCAGAACTTGATTAAATTAAAGCAATAAAACGGGACTTTTAGAGTATTAAATTTCTGTTTCATGTCACAGCTCATACTGCACATAACATATTGTGATGAGATGAAGCAATTACAATGGAAGCAAAAGAAGCGAGGCAGGCAGGTTTCCCATTTTAAGAGCAAAACCCCCTGGACATTTTGTAACATGAACACACGGACACAAACAAACACAAAAACTTTGCAAACACAACTGCTTCTTTTATTTCAGTACTCTGTTTTGCTGCCCATTATAACGAATCTATGAAACTGCAAGGCCTTGCCATTTAAAACCTCTGCAGTCTCTCAGAGAGCGAGACCTAATACATTAAATAAGCCCTTTAAAACAGCCAATGTTCTTTTAGGAGCAGCGTATTCCACCATCTGTCCTCTTACAATTCACCAAGTTCGATTGCAAAGGAAAAACTGAAACAGTCCTGAGAGATTGCAGCTGGAGAACTGTAAAAACATAGCGATCACAAAAAAACGAAGGAAGAAAAATGTTGTCTCTTTTGAATTTATGAGGCAATAAACCAGTCAGTCATTATTGGACATTAAAAAATTAACTGCCCGAAACTGAAGATGGTTACCAAAAAAAAAAAAAAAATGGCATTAGCTGAAAACTCATCTTATCTGTGAAAATTTAGCTGAGCGCTAACTGACTCCAGAAATTTGCTGATGATGCTGAAACTGAGTTGTTAAATTTGAAAAGTGCCAAAATATGACCTAAAAGAAGGTAGCAAAGGCTAGCTAAAAGTAGCATAAGTAGACAAAAACAGCAAGTATGATTTAGATTTTAAGAGAAGAACGCTTTCCAAACATTTACAGATCACATGTATTTCAATGGGGAACCTTTAAGTAAATGACGTTAAATATTTTGAAATGTGTACAAGTTACAAAAACCAAAAGCCACAGCCAAAATGTTCTCAATGGGCTGAACATTTTGACATTCGAATGGTTAAAATAGCTCAAAGTATGCTGAAATAGTGGGAAGAAAAGACAAATAAAGAGAAACAGGATCACTATAGTTTGAACGCTGAATCAGAACAGACACAAGTAAAAAAAAAAAAAAACCTTTTGTTCAACGTGACCAGTTTAAACCTTTGAAACCATTAGGAATTAGGGCCAAAACTAAAAGAACAAGTGTTGAATATAATCCAACGTATAGCAGCACTTTTTGTCCGAACTTTGTTGTTAAATGTGGGCCAACAGTAGAATACCTACAAGCGTGTTCTGTAATAATACAGCCAATAAGACCAGGGCAGAGTTATTTTCAGTCTCCGTGAACTTATCTTTGACCCCTGCGCAGGAGGATCAAGACACTGCAGCGTGGAAAGGAGCTTGGTTGCTCTCTGACCTGTGTGAAGAAACCAGGAATGGTATTCTGTCCTATCCGTCTTACATGAGAGACCACAGAGGATCTCCACCTAAAGCACCAAATTATGGATCCAGACTCAGGAGGTGGACTTCCTCTGTAATATAACAATCATCCCCTCGTGTGCTGCCCTGCTCCTTACTCTGGGGTTTTATGTGTGGGTGTGGTGGAGTCGATACAGCTTTATTATGACTGACTGGTGAAAATAAGTTGTGAGTCCAAAGGTCACCGCAGCGGCAGTGATGAGTGACGGTCTTCTTGAAGTAAAAGCTTACATTTTAAACTTCTGACTGACAACAAACTAAAGGTTTATATTTGCAAGTTATTCAATTCAGTTTATTTATATAGCGCCAAGTCACAACAGAAGTCATCTCAGGGAACTGAACAGAAACATTCATATATAAAAATAATAATTTAACATTATTTATCTGAGGAGCAGACTGCTTTGAATTTAACTCCATCACAGACTCTCATCTTGAGCATGAAGGCGACAGTGGAAAGGAAAAACTCCCTCATGAGGAAGAAACCTTTAGCAGAACCAGGTTCAGGACAAGCGGTCGTCTGCTTCGACCGGCTGGGTTTGAGAGGAACAGATAGACAATGGCAGGTCAAGAATCACATGTTAAGATAGAAATATCACATTAAAACTATTCAATTTTAACAATTTATTTAAGGAAATGAGGTCAATTTGTCCTCCAGTAGTCTAAGTCTATGGCAGCATAACAAGCCGACCCTAACTATAGGATTTATCAAAAAGGAAACTCTTAAGCCCAGTTATCATTTGCTCCTCTGGCTGATGGAAGTCCTTTGGATGAGGCACAAAACGACTCACAAAAACAAAAAAAAGAAGAAGAAACCGTCCAGATGACCTGACTGAACATTGTTGGATTTCTACCTGGATTATTGAGCATGAACTTTGATGTTTTTAACCACTTTGGCTATGGCTGCCTCAGAGGAGTCGACAGGGGAGGGGTCAGGCCCCAGAAACCACCTTATCACCGGCAAACTGGTTAATCCACTATGGGAGTGTGCTGCTTGTGGGACTCAGTTTGTTGTGGCTCATCGGACTGATGAAGTCCTTTGGATGAAGGACGAAACGTCTCAACAAAAAAAGAACAAAACTGTCCAGATGACCTGACTGAACTATGTTGGATTTTTAACCTGGATTATTGAGCATGAACTTTGATATTTGCATGTGATTGTGCATAATAGTTTATTTTTTTAGATATGGCCAAAACAGCATGAACGCTGTTGTTTCTCATCACCAGATGATCTTTGTTTAAAACTCTGGCTTCAAAGGTAGCAGGGGATACACATCTCTTCAAGTAATTCTAAACCTTTCATTTTAATTGTAATCCTACCGTGTCAAATAACCTTTCGACATGCACACAATTGAAAAACAGGAAAAGTGTTATTTTTCCATGAAAAGCTCTTGTGACAAAAGTCTCTGAAACAGATGCCCTGCTAAAACTGTAACTCGTGCAAATAGCATTCTCCATAATTGGATTTGAATGCCTCCCTGCTGCCAAATGTTATATGTGCATACATAAACCCATATTTTCCAGCCCACAAACCCTGTGAAAGCGAGTGAGCCACTAACGTGGTGCAGGGAATGTGAGCTTGGCTGCTCTGTAAACCCTGTTTGTTCCGCTCTGGAGGGCTTGTGTGGTTTTCGGTCTCTGTCGGCCCCCGCTCCTGCACCGCCGTGGGGACAGCTGCAGAGAAATGGTTTGCAGGCCCCCCCTATGAGGCAGAAGTCCTGGCGACGCCTGGCTGCGTGAGCACAGCTGGCACCACAACATCTGGTAAGATTAATCAGCGAAGCGTTCACCCCGAGTTTCACTCACTTGTGTTTGTGTAGTTCAGTCAGTCGGTCTTGTGAGTCATCTCTCATATTTATCACTCTGATGCCACCACACCTGCCTTCATGGTCATCAATCTTATTTTCTACTCATTGATTCTCCTCTTAAATAATTTTCTACCCGTATTTTTTGTGGACCACCCAAACTTTTTAATTATCATAAACTAGGAGTCGAAAAATTTAAATCCAGATAAAAAATTATTTTAAACACTACAAGTTGGTGGGAAATTTAGACAGATCTTGTGAACTGTGGTGCTTCTTCTTCGTGCGGTGCAGAAAAACAGACACATGGGCCAACAAAAACATGGAGTTGATTGTTTTGAAAATGCCTGAGAAGGAGGGTGGGCTTGGCTAGACAAAAACTGCACCTGCCCTGTTGGATTCCACAGCTTGCACATGAATCGTCGCACGCAGGCAGAAAATGATTGGGGGTCTCAGTGCTGCTTTACAAAGAAACACAATAATAACAGAAACTGTGCTTTGAACTGTGGAATTTCAAAACTGGGATTAAATCAGAGAAAACTGAGACTTGCGATGATATTTTTCCTCAGTTTGATCTAAAATGTCATATTATTGTACAGAATCTAAAGTGGCAGATTAAGAAGGTGGAAGACACAACGGTTTCACAAAATCCAAGATGTTAAAACTTATAAATATTAAAAAATATATATATAAAAAATACAAACATAAATAAACGCTAAAGCTTTTGACGCTGTGGACCATGACATCTCATGCCATAAGCTCTCAGATATTGGTTTCTCCATCACACTATCAGTTGGTTTTCCAATTATTTCTCAGATCAAAGGCAATGTGTTCAACGTAACGGTACTTCTTCCAGTTATTTAATTGTCAACAATGGTGTACCACAAGGCTCAGTCTTGAGACCCACTCTCTTCACAATCTAAATAAACAATGTAGGTCAGATCATTCCTGATGCATCCTTACATTTCGATGCCAATGATACAGTTGTTTATTGTCGAGCTAGAACAGTTGCTATGGTTTTCCAGCTTTTACAATCTATATTCATCATCCAGTCAGATTTGTTCCGTCTCAAACTGGTGCTAAATGCTGATAAAATCAAACAGGAAGTCAGTTCCAGCAGTCCTTCCTTCTATCTTATCTATGAATGGTGTTCCTATTGAGTTTGTTGATTCTTACAAATACTTGGGAATCTTGCAAATCTCTTTTTTTAAGCCTCATGTCGAAAATTTGATAAACAGAAATTAAAATTGGGTTTCTTTATCAGAAATAGATCTTGTTTAACTCTGAATGCTAGGAAACACTTTGTAACTGCTACTTTCCTTCTGGTTATTGACAATATTTACATGAATGCTCCTCTCAGATGTTGAGAATGATGTCTAAGATTCATAACTGGCTGTAACTACCATACCCATCACTGCACACTGTATTCACTGTTTAACTGGTCATCACTAACTTCACGCAGACTCTCCACTGGTACATTTTCATCTTTAAATCACTCCTTGGTCTGCTGCCTTCATACATCTCCTCCTAAATGTCACGTTGTCAGTGCAGCTGCACTCTCAAGACATCATTACCTGCAGTGTCCCATCAGTGCAGACTGAATTCTGCAAAAGGGCCGTCTCTTACTCTGCTCCTGTAACCTGGAACACCTTGCAAAAAGATCTGAAGCTCTCGACTTTGACCTCTCTAAGGGATTTTAAACAATTAATTTAATGTAAAAATCAGTGCAGACATGTTCCTGTTTTTAGTATTTTACCCCGTTTCATAATGTAGCATGTTTTTATTTTGTTTTATACCACTAATTCTATTTACTTTTCATTTTATATGCATTTTATGGCTGTTTATTTTTGTTGTGTGTACCTTATCTGTGGTTTTGTTTAAAACAGATCTCTAGAAAATGAGTCCGCGTGACTCGTTGAGACTAACCTGTATAAATAAAGGTTGAATGAATGAAAAATAAAAATAATCAGAAAAGATTAGACCGTTAAGAGATGTCAAAACGATCTAATTAGATTGTTTTGGTTTCTACAGACAATTCTGAAAACATAAAATCCAGCCAACCTGTTGTGAACTGTCCCTTCATCTTCTGAAAAACGGGATCCTGGGCTGTGGCCTGGGCACGGCGGGCCAGCGACTCGGAGGCGGCGCTGGAGAACATGGTGGAAACATTGGAGACGTTCTCCAAGCCGACACCAAAGGTGCTAACCAGCTTCTTGACGAAGTTGAGTGTGTGTGGCGTGATCTTGGCATCAGACACGGCGCCACTCTTCTCAAATGCCACCGAGTAGCATTTAGCAAGGCCTTGCTGGAGCTGCCTCAAGACCTGCAGGGAATGGATGAAGGAAGAGAAAATAAAGAAACCTTGAAACAAAAGGAAACAGAAAAAATCTGAGCTTCTTTTTTTCAGTTTCAAACTATTATTAAGTTACCTGTTGAGTTTTATTTTTTATCAAATAGACAAACTGCAGATAAAAACATTAAGCTAACATGAACAGACTTCTTAAAGACACACGGTGCAAACTGTAATTTCATTCACATTAAAGGAAAAGTGAGAGTGGGAAGTTAGCAACAATGCAGCGTATCGTACATCCTGCATGTCCACTGGATCGAAACATACTGCCTACAACTGCTGCCGCCAAATCATGAAAGGTAATCATGCAGACACAAACACCAACAAACTTCCGGCCCTAAATCCCCTGTCCCATCCTACACGCTCACTGCACCCATCCATCACTTGTCTCAGTCTTTCTTCCTCCTGCCTCTCCATTCTGCAGACTTCTTTTGAACCGCAGATTAGCTTCTGTGAGTGGATGCTGCCGAGCTCGGCTAAAGCCATTTGCAAATTTCTGTTTGGGAGGATTGTCTCAGGCCCAAATCCCAGACTGGCAAACGCAATCAGCTTAGTGGAAAAACATGCCATTTGGTGAATGAAATGTTTCTATAAAATAAAAACAAACAATAAACCCATATAGAAAAATCAAGGTTAAGCTTGCTATAGAACAGCAGACTTGTTATGCAGCAACCAGATTTGTCATCCATTTCTCATTACATTTACAGTCAATCGTCTCTAAAAGGTACAACAAATGAAAGCTCTTTAACAGTCTTTTGTTGAAGCTATTCACTATGCCTTGGCTTTATAGAAGGAAAAAACAAACCAGTTTCACCCTCTGACCCGTGACAATAAACCCAAAGACATACACCAAAGCAACACCTCTGCTAGTCTCACCTCTTCATGCCAGTTCTCTCTGAACCACACCATCTGGTCCACAATACCCTCCAGGGATGAAAGCAGGGTGGGGTGTAGCTCCCGCTGCATGTGCATGATCCGGCTGCAGCGCCACATCGGGGCAGTGGCGCGGATAGGTCCTGGGTCGGACGCACCTGAGTGAGGCTGGGCCCCCACAGAACTGGGCTGCTGCTGCCCAGATGAGTCTAAAACACAAAGTGTAAATGTGCGGAAGAGATAAGCACAGGTAAATAACAAGAGTGCTGCAAACCTCGCATTATACGTTCATCAACAAATTATCATACAACAATTTTTTAGCAATGGGCCAAAAAAAAAAAAAAAAAAAAAAAAACCTTGTTTAAACCTTGACTTGTGACCTTGACCTTGAACCTGTTGATGAAATGTTGTGTATCATAAACTATACCATAATAAATTGCCTGGCCAAAACAAAACTCTCCACCTTGATTTAACTAAACAAGTAAGTACGAGCCTCCTATTGGATAATTACTGCATGGGTGATTATTTTTCAGCTGGCAACAAGTTATTTAACCGCAACTGGTGCAATGAGTTGCTTCTCTCTTTGGTCGTGGAAAAGATGTCAGTCTGTTTGAGAAGGGTCAAATCATTGGCATCAAGCAGAGAAAACATCTGAGGAGATTGTAGAAACTACTAAAATTGGGTTAAGAACTGTCCAACGCATTATTAAAAACTGGAAGGATAGTGGGGACCCATCATCTTCAAGGAAGAAATGTGTCCGGAAAAAAACCCTGAATGATCGTGATCGGTATCACTTAAACATTTGGTGAAATCACACCGAAGAAAAACAACAGTAGCACTCAGGGCTACGTTTAATAGTGAAAGTAAGAACATTTCCACACACACACACAATGTGAAGGGAACTCAAGGGACTGGGACTGAACAGTTGTGTAGCCTTAAGAAAACCACTAATCAGTGAGGCTAACTGGAAAAAAAGGCTTTAATTTGCTAGGGAGCATAAAGATTGGACTGTGGAGCAATGGAAGAAGGTCACGTGGTCTGAAGAGTTCAGATTTACCCTGTCCCAGAGTGATGGCTGCATCAGGGTAAGAAGAGAGGCGATGCACCCATCATGTTTAATGCCTCGTCATCAATGCAAGATCTTGGTGAAAAATGAATGTAACACTGGATGGAAATAGATCTTGTGACATTGAAGAAGCTTATTGAAACAATGTCACAGAGAATGCTGCTGTAATCAAAGCTAAAGACGATCCAACGAAATATTAAGACTGTGACCTTGTTTTTTAGTGGCAATGTTTATTTTGGCCAGGCAGTGTAATTTACAGAAATCTTGGCTGCCTCAGTGACAAGGTGCCCAGGTTCTGTGGTTGCAAGACAAACCCAGACCATCAGCCCTCCACCACCATGCATGACAATGGGTTAATATATCGAGTTAGATTTTCTCCAACAACGGGATGTTGCATTAAATATAAACAACTTCATTTTAGTCTTGTTCGTTGTTTCAGAAGGGGTTTTTAATGTTGCTTTGCTTTAATTTCAGATATTGCTCCTTAAAAATCTGTTCAAAACAGTAAACTTTTTAATTTTACCCCGCTAGATCAAACAGATAAGCAAAAGGATGCACAGACTTTTTTTTCCTACAACCATTCATGCACTTTTAAATAAACTCTGCACCACAACACTACTTTAAAAAAAGAGACTTTATCAGGAAAGTTCTTTACAGATAAAAAGGGAATACAATAAAGCCAGTCATATTTACTTACCACTTTTGTAGCGCTCCCTCTGCTCAATCTTGAGGGTAAGGTAAAGAGTACGGATTGGGAAGTATACAGCCTGAGGGTACACTCGTCCCACCTGGCAGATAAAGGAGGGTCATAGATCAAATTTCAAAGACTCCCTTAAGGATCCCAAAAGAAAGAAATAAGGCCAACAAAGGTGGAGAGGAGACTAATGTAGATAGAGGGAAGCATGAGGAGATACTGTATGCATATGTGTGTACCAGTGAAAGAGAGATCATACTGATACAGACCTCAGCGAGCACAGGGGCTGTTTGAAGGGGAATCAGGGGAGTTAGGGAAGTTAAAAGCATGTCATGGTTGAATTACAAAACTGAATGTGATGGATGATGAAACTGCCTTCGAGACTTCAAGAAGTTACTGACAGCACTTGAACGCTTAATGGTTGAAGTAGGGACAGAAGAGGCTTTAAAATTTTTAATGCATCCCCTCTAAGTTGGTGGAATAGGATCTCTTTGATAAAGGACGCATCAGATGAATTTAGAGTCCAGCTTTGGTGTATAATGTATACATTTGTTTGAGGAAAAAGTTTAGTGTGAAGTCACACTATGAACCCCAAAGTTCAGCTTCCAAACAAGACAATTTACATAAATAATAATAATAATAATAAATACATTTATTTAAAGTATTTCCTAAATGTGGTTTAAAAAAGGTAAAAACATAAAAATGCTGGATCCCAACTGTCAACAATAGTTCCACATATGGCACATGAAGCGCCTGTCAACAAACCATTATACAGCAATCTATAGCAATGGCCGAGACAAGGAGTCATTGCATAACCTTTGACCTTGATTTGTGATCTTGATCTCGAAACTGGAGCGATTGAAAGTGCATGTGACACTCCCTCAAAAGATGATGCTTATGTGTATCAAGTTTCATTAAATTCTCTCGAGTGGATAAAAGTTATGGTCTGAACAAACAAAGAGCTCGTTTTAACTTTGATCTTGATTTGACCTTGAAACTTTAATTGGTGATATGTGACATTTGTGCTGCTGATTATCTCATGCTGCTGTATTCATTCGAACACATCTGCTCACCAAAGACTCATGTTCGGGCTGTTGTTGTTACACCGTGTTGTTTTACATTATTAATGTATGGTGTACATCTTATATCTTTTAGCGTACCGTTTGGCGTTTATCTTAGATTCTTATATAATGTTTCTTTTTACACTTTGTATTTTTGCTATTGTTGGGTCTGGGACCCTGTGTACATAATTTTGTTCCACCTCATGTACCACATGTGATGAAATGACAATAAAATTGACTTGAACTTGAAACTGGGGTTATGAAAAGTGCACACAACTCTCTGTCTAGTGATGATGCTTATGTGTATTCAGTTTTGTTAAACTATCTTTAGCAGGTCAGAAGTACAGATGGATGTCAAGGTTTTGGAGTACAGTAGTCCCTCGCTACATCGCGATTCATTTATCACAGACTCGCTCTATTGTGGTTTTTCAAAATAAGAGTGGACATGACACACAACTGACTGACTGATGGATGAGCTGCATTAAATTTTTATTTAAAACAAATTATTTTAAATTATTTAGCACCTGCTGCACCTTTGTGCAGCCCATAGCTGCAGAAAAAGCTTCCTCCTGCACCTTTGTGCAGCCCTTACTGCAAGATAAGCTTCCTGCAGCTGAGCAGATGTTCTCCGTGCAGAGCGGAAATGTGGGCGTGGCCAAGAGCGTTTGCAGGTGGCTGAGAGCAACGGAGGCAGAGAGAGGGAAATCATGACATTCTGTGCTCTTTTAGAGCATTTAGAGTTTAGAAACATTGTTTAGAATATTGCAAGAGTGTGGGAAGAGTCTAAAATGCCTTAATATATATATATATATATATATTTTTTTTTCATTTATCCTTTATTTATCCAGGTAGTCTCATTGAGCCACGAGAACTCATTTTCAAGAGAGACCTGTTTAGGGAGCAGATGGTGGGGGTTAAGGGCCTTGCTCATGGGCCCAGAGTGGGGCGAATGAGGATCGGGGCAAGTGTGGGTGCTTCACCTACCCCACCCACAATTTTGATGTTGTCGGGGCTGGGGCGTGAACCAGTGATCTTCAGATCACAGGCCCACCTCTCTAACCTCTGCGCCACCACTCCCCCACAAATATATATATATATATATATATATATATATATATATATACACACACACACACACACACTAAAATAATCTACTACTTACTACTTGTACTACTATTCCTACTTTGCAGTTTTTCACTCATTGTGGGGCTTCAGGGTACGGATCCCCCACGATAAACGAGGTACTACTGTATATCTCTGAATGTTTCTCAGCCTCAGTAATTAATCTTTCCTAATCTACTTTTTAAACGAAACGGCACTACAGTTACACATGAAAAGAACCATTAAAAAAAGCATAGAAGAGCTGCTATGGTAACCCAGATGTTTAAGCAAGAAGTATCACATAAATGTATCTTGCTTTTTTTTCTCTCCCAGAAGTGGAACTGCTTTAAAACAGAACATGATCAAGAAGATGCACTGGTCTGTGTGTTTTTCCCTTTAGGCACAATTTCTTCGCTTAACTGCACAAATTTACACAACGTGCCTAAAGCCTAAAATACATTAATATCACTTATGTCTTTTAATAAACCAAAGTTAAATAACGTTACATACACTTGAACAACTCTCTCACACACACAAACAAACATGGTATAAAAATGTCTAAATTAATTTCTAAAATTTGCCAATTTTGTGTAATCAACATATAACAGGTGCATTAAATCTATTTTTTACAGTGCGGCGAAATACAGTTTGGAGGTGAAGAATCTTAGAAGAGGAAAAGGGAGGTTTAAGTGGCAGCCAACATCATCATTAATGATGAACGAGGAAGGGAAGCAGTAACGAAAAGGAGGAACCAGAGATCATCGCACTAATGGGAAGATAAGGAATGTTTTATTTTATCGAAGGTGAGGCAGGCCGAGGGGAAGAGGGCACACGGTAGACGAGGCGGACACAGTGAGTGGGGGTGTGTGTGTGGGAGGGGATGCTGAGATTCTCAACCAACTTCTGATTCATCTCCCCGCCTGCCCCCAGGCGCTCCTCTCCTCACCTTCATCAATATTTCAACATACTTTTTTTTAAACATCCCGCCGCCGCAGAGAAACTCTAAATAATTCAGGCAAGCAGTAGAGATAAAGCATGTCATGCATTAGAATGTGCTTTATTCTTTACATAAAAAGGCAATGAAGACAAAAGGTGTCAACCTTTTACCCTTCAGTTGTTAAAGGATGATAAGGCACTCCGTAGGCGGGACTGAACTTCCATAGATGGAAAATCTATATCTAAACTGACGTCTATTTAGATTAATAACAGATTGGTAAACTAGGATTACTTTGAGATAATCTGTATCAGCCTATTATGTAACACTATCTTTTAAATTGTTGGTAAAATGAAAACAATAAATGGACAAATCTGCAGCGCAGGCAGTCTGATAAGTGTGATTGTAGTGTTTTTTCCTATTTTACAGGTTTTTTAATATAAGAAAAAAACATTTTGCTATTTTCTCATGTTATTAGATTAAGCCTTTTTAGTTTAAACTAGGGATGGGGCCGATCTGATCCAGTATCGGTAACGGGCTCTAATACCAGCATAACTTACGTATCGGATTTTTCTGATCCATGAAGCATGTCTCGTGGATGGATTTACTGAACGGCGGCGTGTCTCATGAACCCAGAGTAATAAGACCCGCCTCACATTCAGGAAATCCATGTCATAGTTTGCAGCCAGCTACAACGTGTAGTAGCACTGTGGCTAACAGCTAACCAACTTTTCATCTAAACATGTCCGCTGTGTGGAAGTACTTTACACTAGAAACACCACAAAACAAGACAGCAACGTAATATGTCTGCAGAGCCGCTGTACCGAGAGGAGGCAGCTCGGTCGCGACCTACAATATAACGAACTTAATCAAACATAGCACCACATTAAACCACGGTAATGTTAGTTTTACGTTGAACATTCGAGCTCCGGGGCTTCAGCGGTCTGTTATTCTCGTTTAGTCTGGAGAAGGCGGTCTGACTTCAGCCAGCCGTGCTCAGTCTGCCCGTCTCGGAGGAGGGGCAGACTGAGCACGGCTGGCCAAAGTCAGACCGCCTTCTCCGGACTGAACGAGAATAACACATCGTTGAAGCCCCGGAGCTCGAATGTTTACAGAGACGTTGCTAAATTTCACGTCATTAATGACCAACCGCTATCAGTTGTAGAAAATGAAGGATTTCGCAGCTTGATACTTGCAGCCAAGATATAGTTTACCCTCTAGGAGATATTTATCAGTACAACAATAGACAATCATAAAAAACATATGAATTGAAAAATACAAGAAAATGATATATATAAAAAAAACGAAACAAAAACTGCTACATTATAAAGCGATGTAAAATCCTAAAAACAGGAACATGTTTTTGTTGGTTTATGCCATGAACTTAGCAAATGTTTGAAGCCATCAAATCACTTTAATATCCACTTTAAAGCTAGGAATAAAAAAAAACAAAACATGTTTTGTGTTAGCAGGCTTTAATTCTACCTTTGAAACTTATCTAACATTAATAAAACTTACCTCAAGTTGCCTTTTTGCACATGCATATATTTGTGCAAATTGTACTTGAGAAGAGATTATTACAGCCTCATATAAAATCAATAATGATGATGATATCGGGACGGTATCAGACGATATCCAGATTTAGGCATCAAGATCGGATCGGAAGTAAAAAAATGTGGATCGGTGCATCCCTAGTTTTTACATAATCATATTAATCAAATAATTTTAACAGTGCAGATTAAAGACATTAAAAAATAGGTCTGCATGATATAGTAAAACTTGAAATGTGTGATTTTATTGTTTAATATTGCTATGAGGATATCAGCGGCGTGTGGTGTCTCAGGACTGTGGTCTTGTAATTCTGAGGCTGCAGGTCTGAGCCCAGGTTGCGTCAGGAAGGGCATCTGGTGTAAAAACAAGTGCCAAATTTCCTGCGCGAGTTCGCTCATTATGGCAACCCCCACTGAGGGGAGAAGCTGAGACAACAACGGCAATGAAAATATCAGTTGCTGTAAATCCACATTTTCCTCACTCCTGACTTTCCCTTCTGTCTTTTTATTGTCCAAACCAGGTGTGGACAAAAAGACCAAAAATAGATTTGGTTGATAAACCTTTACTGGCATGAAGAATAGGAATGCATGCATGGTACTTAGAATTTTATATATTGTGCAGCCCCATTTATACCACAGTTCAGATATTTTAAACTTAGATTCTGTGGAAAGGTTATAAACAATTAGTATCTTACCTGTTGTAGAAAGCTCTTTGAATGCGCTCAGTTTGCAGAAACAGAGTTTAATTCTGACTGGGCTGACGAGCACATGGCTAGTCCAAACAGTAACAAAACTAAAGTTGATTTATATCATTTTAAATGGCTTCAGTAGTGTTCGTGTAAACAGTACTTTATAAGCATTAACATCACTATCAAATGTTCGTTTTCTGCAAGCCCAGCTGCAGTAACAGTCAGCTGTAGCACTTCCTGTGAGGCAGAATGTATTCTGATTAATACTCTAACAATAAACATTATTACTACTAATATATTTATGCTATTATGTTGGAATAACTGTGTATTACAAAACTAGCAGTGGTGTAAAGGTTTATAAAATAGTTTTTGTATGGACCATTGTGAAATGTTTAGATTAGATTTGTTTTTAAAATGGGAGCAGCTTGTCAGTCCAGTCACAAACTATTTCTCTAAGCTTATTTAAAAAGACAACAGGTGTGATTATTGTTTATAACTTAAAAAAAAAAACTACTTCAAATAATCCAAACTACCCCTTTAAACTGAATGTGACACCAATTTTTTGTAAATTATTATTATTATTATTTTAAATAAATAATGTATTACTAGAAAGATAATATTAATGATGTATTGCGAAAAAAAATTCACACCACTGAGATGAACAGATGTTGAGGTATTGGCCTGTGCATAAACAGGAAGTGATGTCAAAGGGGAATGCCTGCATGTAAACAAAACATTGCTACAACGGCTAGCAACACAGAGTAAAAAGGAATGTGATGTTCCTTTGGATGACTTTGAGTCCCTATCAGAGAGACAAAGAAGGGTCAGGCAACAAAAACTGTTTCATTAAACAAAAAACAGGAAGTTCCCCTTTGATGTCACTTCCTGTTTCACGATGGCTGCACCAAGTCCAAAAAAATGCTAGTTATGTAATAAAATGGGTGTCGTGACAACTCTTAAATATTAAGTTTTTTTTTCTTCACTTTTTATATTTTTTTAGAAAAAGCATGTCACGGGCACTTTTAAGCGAGGAGAGAAACAAATCTCGAGTTAAAACAGAATTATTCAATTTTCTGTCCCATTTCCTATCACCAAAAACTCATGTTTTTTTTCCCCTGCAAATAGAAACACCATAAATATGTATGCAATTAACTGCTGTCTTCTGATTTGGTGTCAGACACTGTGTAATGATCTTTAGCAGATATTCCGCTCATTTTATATAAAAAATAATTCAAGTCCTTGAACAACAACTTAAATAATTAAAAGTAACAAGCAACAATCAGTTTTCTAGTGTTTCTTAGATATAGTACATCTTTACAGCACATAAAAACACAAACCTAAATGCAGAATGAACACTTTGTTTCACGTTATATTTAATAGACAACCTATAATCTGCCACCATCTGAAAGAAGTGACATCCATTTCAAATGCTCTCTTCCCGTCTTTTCACTCTCTGCTACTGATCCTCCTTCAGTCTCCCTTGAATATCTTCTATAAATATTGCAGCTCTGCTGAGAGGATGGCTGTTTGTTAAAGAGCACTACTCTTTGAAGATCACCCTCTTCAAATTGTGCAGAAATAATACTCCATTAGGCAAAGCAAATTAGTCCTCGGTTTAATTACTAGCTCTGTTCCCGCAGTGAGGATGCGTACAATATTAACTTTATAATCATTTCTTGAACAAATAATTTAAAAACTAATTCACCGAGGACTAGTGAAAGCCTACGAACTACTGTAAAATTGAAAAGTGGAAAAATCTGAACGCAAATTTGGTAACTAAAAAGCAACCAACTTTGGCGTGAATGCAGTAAATTTATCTTTATTAGAAAGATGTGATTGAGAATTACCGTATTTTCCGGCCTATAAGTCACAGTTTTTTGCATAATTTACATGCCCTGTGACTTATAGGCTGAAGCGACATATTTATGGATTTTGTTCCCATATTATAAACCATTTTTTGGCTGAGATATGGCTGTTTTCATTCATTCTGACTGAAAAAAAAGAGCAGTACCACTTTCGGCCATTGATGGCAGAAGAGTATTAAGTTGTATGGCATGCTGTTGGCTGTTGTATCATGTAATAGGTAAACGTGGCTATAATGACAAATCCAAAAAAGTTCAAGACAAAAACAACTGGACTTGATTTATTATACTATACTTTAGGGCTGCAACTAACGATTTTTTCAATAATCGATGAATCGGCAAACAAAAAAAAACGACGTTTTAATTTCCACCCCTTTATTCCAAAATTGAACATTTGACTGACATAGGAATTCGCACAAAAAACAGGTTGCTATTTGACTATTCTGTTAGTAAAATATTGAATAATAAAAAATAAAAGTTAGTCAAATAGCTTAAAAAAATAATGTACACAAAAATATATACAAATGTGTCTTTATACCTGCACAATGTGTAGTTGCTTTGTAAAATGTGTCCTTGAGGGAAGAGTGTAACCTGGATTAAAAGTGTGGATTATTGTAACCTGGATTAAAAGTGGATTATTGTAACCTGGATTAAAAGTGTGGATTACTGTAGTCAAGCCTTCGTCTTCAACCATCGACAGAGGCCTCATGTCAGTGACGATCATGTTCAGGATGTTTCAGTGAAGACAGCTGCTTGTTGTGGTGTCCATGATGTCTGTCCATCATGAAGGCTGTCATTGTTTGTTGTTGTTGTTTTCTGGAATGAGAGAGTAAATATGTATTATAACATAATTTACAGCAACTCAAGAAATGCCTTGTTTCACTTACAGTGTTAGGTTCAGGCAAAAGTAGCTAAAAGAGCAATTAAACATACACACACACATATAAAATACTTAATTACACACATTTGAGTAGATGTAATAAATTACTTTAATTCTTTAAATGCAATTCATCCTGCCATACCTGCAGTGTCTTCAGACTTTGCCAGCAAATTAAAAGTTGAAGCTTAATCATTAAATTATTATCTTTGTGTTAGATTCATTTATAAATCACATTTAAACACTGCTTGTACCAATTAAATTAAATAAAAAGTAACACACGTTCTCTATCCCTGTAACAAGCAGCAGCTTCAGCTACCAGAGAGACTGACGTTACGTTTTCTCTCTTGGAAACAGAACAAAGTGTTAAATTGTAGAGACTCACCTGCAACACATGAAGAGTTGTATCAGCTGCAGCTCCTTCCTCCTCCTCGTGACTCCATGTTTACGTTTATCTCCGTGGTTCTCCCGTGTCGGCGATTTTCAAAGCTGCATGCTTCTCATTTTTTATCTTTGTGAAGAGCTCCCACACTTTGGAGGACTTGGGTCAAACAGTTTTCGCTGCGTTGGTCATTTGTAAAATTTACTTATTTTCCTTTGAAAACACCGACTCTGCTCTGCTCCCCCTCGCTCTGTTCAACTCACGCTGCAGGTTTTTTTTTTTTCCAAACTTTATTCAGTCAGTCAGCATTGACAATGAACTGCCCGTGAACAAAACGAAACGGCTCCGCAGCGCTGTGAAAGACGCATAATCGCGCGACACAACGAATCAATAATGAAATTCGTTGCAACGCTTTTAATCATCGATTTTTTTCAATTTTATTGATTCGCTGTTGCAGCCCTACTATACTTTATATTTTTTTCTTGAACTTTTTAGAATTTACCGTGTCCTGGATGACAGAGAATCTTCACCAGCTTTTAATGACTCAATCGGCCTGCCACAGTCTCCCCACCTTCATTCTGCTCGCTGCTTGGAACCGTCAAACCAGCTGCACCACCCCGGCAAAATGCAGCTGATTTGACCATTAAAGTGCATTTATTAAGCAAACGTTAGACTGAGACACACATTTACTATAATTTTGAGCAAACAAATAATTGTTTTAAAGTGTTAATCTTGCTAAATTCTTGTTAAAGTCCTCCCCTGCACGCTCCTGCAGCCTCCATTTGGCAGCCCATCGGTTTTTGGCACAACACCGGTCCACATTTCCAGGTTGTCGGCGATGACGCATAATAGATGCGACGTATACGGCGAAGCGACTTATTTATGGATTTTTCCACTTTATTAGACAAATATGGACTGATGCGACTTATAGGGCGGTGCGACGTGTCCGCCGGAAAATACGGTAATGCTAACACGCTAGCAAAATGTGCTGCCACTATTGCAAGAAAGCATTAAAAAATGATTACGTAATAAAAATAACAAACATTCAATCATGAATGAAAGATGTTCAGAAGATTTGACATTTTTAACAGACCTCATTAATATTCTGCTTGGGCTTCCACACAAATAGAAATCTAAGTTTGGCTTTAGGAGTTTAGCCGAGGCCTCACCTGGCTGATGAGATTAAGCAGGGGCTTGCCCTCTGACCCAACCAGGCAGGTCAGAAGCTGGGGGATCCAGGCCAACCACTGAATGGGGGGCACTCCAATGCAGTATTTATCCACAGCATCTGCCAGTGTGTTCTTGTCATCAAAGCTGAGCAACCACAGCACCTACATATTCACACAGAAGCAAATAAACCAAAAAAATACAATGACAAGCTAAAAAAACATGACAAAGGAAGGCAAATAATAAATATGAAGAAATCAAATTAAAATATTTTACATACAGATGAAACCAGAAGTTTACGTACACTATTTAAAAAGACATGCATTTTTTTCCACACTGTCTGACAGAGTTGCATTTGGGCCTAAAAAATCCGACTCGACCCGGCCCCAGCCTGTAGCATTTTTTTTTCTGAACCCGACCTGACCTAATCAAATTAAATGTAATTACAGGCCCGGACCCGAATTAAAAAAAAGAAAAAACTTTTTTTTTTTTTTTATTAAGCTTTTACTGCTTTTGTAAGCAAATCAGTTTGACATCATAGTTTTAAAAACAACAATAGGAAGATATAAGATTTCTTTTTTCACCAAATGGATATTAACAAATAAAACAAATAGCCTAAAAAAAAAAAAAAAAAATCAACTCTAAAGATAGGCTATTATACAGATGAACAAAAATATTTTTAGAGCAATTATTTAGAAAAATATAGAACAAGGCTATTTTAATTGAACGCGCTGCTCCCTTTGGCTTTTGTAGATACTGCTACTTCCTTCACAGATGACAGCAGGTGCGGAGATGCGTGCGGACAGTGATCAGGTTGTCCATCTGAATTTAACGCAACTTTAAAAAAAAATATCTCTTTAAACCAGCCGGTCGGACCTGCCTCCTCCTCATCAAGTAGATTAACACAATTTTATATTGTGCATTCTTACTTGGTTGTATTTGTGCTGTATGATTCGTAAAACTGCAACAAAACCCAAGACCAGCCCGGCCCACAAATTAAGGCCCAGCCCAAATTAGGGTTGGGCTTTGGGCTCCGGTTAGAAATGACAGCTCTACTGTCTGACGTGAAATCAGAATAAACTTTTCCCGTTTTAGGTCAATGAGGATTACCAACTTTTCTATTTACAAAATGCCAGAATAATGAGAGAATTTTTTACAGCAATTTTTATTACTTTCTTCAAAGTCAGAAGTTTAAATACACGTCATTAGTATTTGATACCATTGTCCTTGAACTGCATGACTTGGGTCAAACGTTGTGGATCTCCTTCCTCGAGCTTCTCACAATAGTTGGCAGGAATTTTGTCCCATTCCTCCTGACAGAACTGGTGGAACTGGGCCATGTTTGGAGGTCTTTGTGATGGTCACTCCAAAACATTGACTTTGTTCTCCTTGAGCCACTCTGGAACCAGTTTGCCAGTATGCTTCAGGTCATGGTCCATTTGAAGACCCAATCTTTAACTTCCTGCTGATGTCTTGAGATGTTGCTTCAGTATTTCCACATAATGTTCTCTCCTCATGATGTCATCTATTCTGTGAAGTGCACCAGTCCCTCCTGAAGCAAAACAACCCCACAACATGATGCTGCCACCCCCGTGTTTCACAGTCTGGATGGTGTTCTCAGGGTTTGTCCTCCAAACAGTTCAGTTTTAGTTTCTTCAGACCACAGGACATGTCTCCAGAAGTTCAGGTCTTTGTCCCTGTGTGCATCAACAAACATTGATCTGTTTTTATGTTTCTTTTGAAGTCATGTCTTCTTCCTGCAGAGTGACCTTCAGCTCATGTCCACACAGTTTCACTGTGGATGATGACAGAGTCTTAGCTTCAGCCAGCATCTTCACCAGGTCTTTTCTCTTGTTCTTGGGTTGATCTGCACATTTCAGACCAAAACACGTTCATCTGTGGGACACAGAACCCGTCTCCTTCCTGAGCCGTATGATGGCTGGACATTCCCATCTTGTTTGTACTGGTGTATAACTGTTTGTACAGATGAACGAGGCACCTTCAAACATCTGGACATTGAACCCAAGGATGAACCAGACTTGTGCAAGTCCACAGTTCTTCCTGACATGTCGGCTGATTTATTTTGACTTTCCCAACATGTTACACAAAGAAGCAGAGTGTTTCAGGTGTTCCTTTACATCCACAGGTGTGTCTCTAATGGACTCGCATGTTATCAATGAACCTATCAGAAGCCTCCAAAGAAATGACAAATGTCCCAAATTGTTTAAAGGCGTAGTAATCTTAGTGTATTTAAACTTTTGACTTTGAAGAACGTAATAAAAATTGCCTTAAAATTCTCTCTCTCATTATTCTGGTATTTTGTAAATAGAAAAAATGTTTGTAATCCTATTGGACCTAAAATAGGAAAAGTTTATTCTGATTTCACGTCAGACAGTGTGAAAAAAAAAGGCACGTGTCTTTTTAAATAGTGTATGTAAACTTCTGGTTTCAATTGTATCTCATAATTATCCAACCAAGTAAGAAACCGAGAAGAAAAAGGTCTTAAGCATTTATCACATTATTGCTGCCTGCCTGCTTCTGTTCACCGCGGCAAAGTACCATTAGCACATCTCAAATGTTCTTATCATGATCAAAGCGGTGTTAACGTGGAGGTCATCTCTCCTCCGCTGGTGTTTTTTTTTTTTTTTACATTTACAATAAAAAGAAGACATTAACCTCACTCAACTCCTCATTTACTCTTTACTAAGCCCATTCAAGTAAACAGATTGAGTTTAGTTGTTGATAAAGTCTAATTATCTTTCTCCATCAATCAGGACTAATGCCAACTTTTTTGGCAGCACAGCACTTTGGTGCAGGAGTTATCAAAAAACATGTACGGTAATATGAATGTGAAAATAATTAACAGCAGTGGAAACAAACAGCGTTTGTATTGCTTGGAGGCTGCACTGGACATGGTAAGAACATGCTTATTTACCCTGGCTAATCTTACTGCTACAAAAGGTCAAACCACACTGAGGTTTGACCTTTTGTAGCAGTAAATAAACAACGTTATTAAATGACTTTATATGTATGTGAATGCTTCTGTAAAGTGCCCTGAGACTATTTCTGTTGTGATCTGGCACTATATAAGCAAACTGAATTGAATTGTTTATGAGTGTAGCGTGAGGGGAGGCCATTAGTCTGTTAACCTGCAGAGCCAGATGATGGACTTCAATTAACTATTGATAGATTATGGGAACCAATGCACTGCATGGATCAGTAGACTATATAACTGATGCAACTACTAGTCTCTACTTGTAACTTTGGCAGATTCTCATCAGTATCTATAATATATAGGGGAAACGAGGTCAGGAAACTCGGGAATTTAAAATATAAAAAAGTGATACTCTCTTCAATAAGATATGGCTCAGGCTACAGAGTTCCTACAAAGGAGCATTATGACACCAGAGATTATGTTGCCACTATCTGCATTTGAAAATGAATGACCACATTCTGCCTAAAACAGAAATCACCCCCCTTTCCAGTCTATCACCTTTGCGAGGTACTTGCGGGACTTGCTCTCGTTTTGGTGGCGGCAGGCATGCAGGTAGCAGGTAATAGCTGAAACTCCCAGATGAAGCTGCCGATCTTTGACAAAGATGTTCTCCAGGTAGTCTCCCCACATGGCCCAGGCTTTCACTAGGACGTCGTGCATCTGTACAGCAGCTGAAAAGGCCTTATTGGCCTCCTCTGACCTACAAGAAGAAAAACAAAGTCATATTGGAGCAGTGAGAGACAAATTACAAGCAGCACATATTCTCAGCAGAAGGTTAGCAATGAGAGCTGGAGGAGAAAAAGGAAATAAGATCTGAGTGAAAAGGGCCTGACGTGAAATTAGGTGAAAAGAGAAAAATCTGGTGAGAAAGTAAGTTTATAATGATCAAACCTTTAACAAGTAGCACACTTCTAGATCACAATATCCACCACAGTGAGTCCATTTTACAAGAAAGAGACTGAAACTGCAAACACTTCACACTAAATAGTCCCTTTTAAACATATTTTTAATGTACACATTTACAAAACACTAAGTAATTTGCTTTTTGTCTCAATTATTCTGTTATAAACTTTAGAGATGCATGATATTATTGGCATGGTATCGGTCGATATTAGCGATAAAGCAATTAAATTAAATATCGGACATTGGCCTTTCCATCAAAATAACTCACCGATATACTAAGGCTGGACGATATGGCCAAAACTTTCATCGCGATATATTTCTTCATTTCGGTCGATAACGATATAATTCGATATCGA